TTATAGTTCTTCATTCTGGATTTTTCATTCCTTTGTTCTTTTTTAAATGTGCAAGGATTCTGTGGTTATAAGTCATACAAATGTATGATGTAAATTTGTTCGTCATTTAATATTTTACATGAAGCATATAGACGTGTCCACGGGCCGAACGGCCCATGAACCGGTCCCGGCCCGGAACCGTCTTCTTAAGGGCCGGTTCCTTGAACCGGACCCGTAGGGTTGCGGTTCGGTCCCGGTTCATACACTCTTTGTTTTTGACCTGCGGGCCGGGCTGGGTCGCGGGTCATGTTGCTTTTTTTTTTTTATTTTTAAGGGCCGTACCGGCCCAGAATCGTCCGAGACCCGCCGGGTTGGTGAACCAGCGGTTCCGATAGAACCGGCCCATAGGTTTTTTCAGGCCGGTTACGGGCCATAATGCTGAGGCCTGTCGACCCGGCGGGCTGGGCCGGGTCGCGGCCCGGCACCTGGTCATGCCTAGAACCATACAATCCGAATACATGATAAGCCGAAAACAAATCTATATATACTGATATGTTGATGCTACGTAGAGCGCATTTAATTGTGTTAGGACACAGAAAGCTTATAAATTTTTAATCTGTATTGTAATGCCAGAATAAGTTAAATAGCAACAAGAGATAAAAACTCTTCTGGGAGTGTCTTACTTTGGGGAGTGTCCTAGTACCCGTCAGAGATCTTTTATTAATAAATCGATTGTGCACACGTTGGAACTTATACAACTAAAACTTCTTTCTAGCCTAGCAAACACTATATTCGATCCTACCAACTACTTCTTTGGCCACGTCACGTGGACTTTACATACTCGAATCCATTGAGCAAACATAGTACTCAATCCCGTGGACGTTACACATTGCTCCAAAATTCTTTCACCGACATGAGCTCCAGAAAAGCGTGAGATTATTGTATAAAAAGTACGGTCTAGTGAGAATTTGGCAGACCTACTCACCAAATCCCTTGCTACAATTACTTTTGAAAAATACATTTATGGTATTGTTATGGAAGATCATTGTCTTCACAGATAGGGATAAACTCAACACAATCCTGAAGATTGGGTCCTGAAGACCAACTGCTACTCTTTTTTCCTTAACTAAGTTTTTTCCATTAAATTTATTAGTTCAAAATTTTTAATGAGGCATCTAGTAAAAGACGTACATGAATTTCTATAAATCATGTACTCTTTGTTCCTGAACTAGTTTTTTTCCTTGTAGATTTTTTATTAGTAATGTTTTTGATGAGACATAAATAATGGTCAAGGGAGAGTCTTGTAAAAATATATTAACACGGACATTACTAATATATAAAATTGGGCCTAAAACCCATTAGTTAGGAAAATTAAGTTTTATGGCTTCTCTATTGTATATAAACCTTATAAAAAGGTGATAACTATGAATGAAATATAATAGCTTTTCTATTTTCTCGTTCTCTCTACTGCATATCTTTTTAGTGGATTGATGGATGTTCGGTGAATATCGAAGATTTGAGGATTCCCAAGTTACAAGAAGAACGACTTAACAAACAGCTATCGTGTTGATATGTCAGAGATTGAATTTTAGATTTTGGGCTTGTATATAATGCGTCCCTTTTGTGTTGGGCCCGTCACCAGGAACTTTTTGGATGTTTGTGGTATGTTGATATTGATATCGATCAAATGGGTCCAATTGCATAAGTCACATGCATGCACAATAATTATTTTACAATTTGCTTTTAATGTTGTTAATTAATAATTTCCCTATCATTTATGTTTGTATTGCCTGCAATTTCTGCATGATTGGCATTTCTCGTGAATTATATGGTCTCGTCACTTGTGTGGTGTACATGTCAGCCTGCCTAACAACTAGATTCCATTTCTGTGTATGTTGCAGTTTCAGGCATGTTTTTTTTTCATTTTTTTATATATTACTAAAGTACACGTGCGATCATTGGCGGACCTACATAGGGGCCCGTAGGAGCACGGCCCTTATAGAATTTTTTAGTAATATAATATGTATATATGTTATATGTATAAATGTATTATTGTACACATTAAAAAATACATGTTATTAATTATTTTGCAAAGTTATTTCAATATAAAAAAATAAACATGAAATATTCAGAATTCTTTAACCTTCAATAGTATGTTATTTTTTTAAGTTGTGGAATTATGTTTATGCTATGCTCAACTTCTTGTTTATTTCATTTTCCCTCCAAAAATACATAAAAAAAAAACAAATATTATACATAAATGTATATACTATATAGGGATTGGATCAAATGTGTCCCTATTCTTAAAATGAGAATGTAAGACTCAGCCCTAGCTATTAAATAAGAAACAAGATGTTTGGTCAAGATTTAATATTTTTAATTTTGTAATTGGTTAAATATTGATTTGATTGTTGACTTTCGGCGTTGACTGTAATTTGTGCCCCCGTTGCCCTAAAAGTCTGCGTCCGCCCCTGCGTGCGATGCACGTGATACATATTTTATATTGTAATGTGATTTTAAATTATTTTTTTTATATATTTTTATGACCTATTCTATTTTTTGCATTATTATTTTCAATTAACCAAACACAAGAAGTACATTACATAATGGACAGTGTCAAATATATTGAAAGTTGAAATAAATATTGCAAATAATAATATTTAAAAGTAATAACGAAAAAGATTGCATGAAAATTTTGGTTGAGAAATCTTCATTATCTAAGTTAGTCTTCTTTATTCGAAATCTTTTTTGTTCGGGAAAGATTGACAAATATGAACAGTGAAACTAAATTAAAATCTTTTACATGAATAATTGCATATGATAGTTTACAATTTTGTCTTCTTATCTTGTTGAAATGGACCATTCTTTGTCATTATTTTAGGCTTAATTGCTTAAAAAACCATGACCTTTTCGAAATTCGCATTTTTATGATCCACTTTTAAACTTGACAAAAATATGCACCACTTTCAATATTGTTTGCAAATTTATGATCAGGGCCCAATTTCGGGCTTTTTTAATCGACGTGGATTTTTTTTTCAGACGTATCAATTGTTGTTTCTAATCTATATTCCACGTCGCAATTGCGTATATAATAATGAGAATCTCATCTTCAATCGACGACCTATCCGAATAATCTCCAAATTTCCTCAAACCCTAAATTTCAAACGGAAAGCATGTCTTCATCGACTTCTCAAAGCTCTGGCCGATAATGTTTCGCCTCATTCAAGTCAAAAAAACTTGTGAGCATGGGGTGGACGTGTTTACGTCAATGACTCAAGAAAATCCGGCGAGGAGGTTCAGTCGGTGTAGTCGAAGGAAGGTGAGCCATTTTACCGAGGTCATCTTAGTATGATTTTCATGTCTGTGGTCATTTTGAGTGCCTTGCATTTTTATTATGTATTTATAAGGCCCTGAGAATTGCGGTCATTTTGAATGGATCGATCCAAGTCTTCCTCCATTTCAGAAAGGTTGCTTTGTGAACTTAATGGGTTAGAAAAGGAGTTTGGAAGAACAATTAAGGTGTAAAGAGGTTATGGAAAATCTGATGACAGAAAGAATGGCAATTAAGGTATCAGAGATTGGAAAGGTGTAAGATCTCTATGAGCAAACTCAATATTTGTTGGAGGTTCAAACCTTGAAGTGTGAAGAATGGAGAAAAAGCTGAAGATTGCAATGGACCAAGTGAGCAAGCTCCAAAGAATGTTTGCAATGGCAGCAATTTGGCTTATAATACTCCTATTAATAATACTGATATTGGTTTGTTCAAAAAGAGACAATCGTTCTAATGGATACACTGAGTTGGGACGATTGAACTTTGTAGGGTAGTTGATCGATGTGTAGGATGTGTGCTTTCTGATGTGTTGGTGATGAGTAGGAGATGTGTTTGTTGTAGTGTATTGGTTTGATGAAGGATTGTTATGAATTGAATGGATCAATGTGATTGTTATGTTTTGAGGCTTTTGGTAATGAAATGAATTGAATGGATATGTACTTTTGTTCATCTGTTTTGTTTTCTAATGTGTTGTGTTATGAAATGATTGGATCATTTGGATAATTTGTTGGTGATGAGTTGTTGTTTTGTTTTCTGATGTGTTGGTGAAGAATTGTTGTTTTGTTCTTTATGTTGTGTTCTGTAGGGTAGTTGATCAAACATGATTGTTTTGGGTTTTTATAGAAGTAGAAAACATATTTGCAGCCCTAAACCATAACCATAAACATAGAA